TGCAGGATGTTGCTTTTGTTTCGGATTCGGATGCAGGGGGGACACCTGATTGATTGCAAGGGTAGGATATGTGATATTGCTACCCCTCCCCCCCCTCCACCCCCCCGGCGATATTGCTAAACGGTTACCCCCCTTGTATTGTCATTCTCATTCCTGTGAATCGTATGGCATACAGATGAAGTGTGTGAAAATGCCTATGAAGTTATGAACTTATGAAGATATATGCTAAGCACCTGTGTTGTTCCATTCGACTGAGCTGGATCATTGCACTGTGTGTATCAGTCAAGTGCCAATGAGCGGATAGAGAGAGAATCTTGATAGATGTATTGAGATTCTCATCCTGCAGAGGATAAGAAGAGATTGTGTCTCAGATTGTGCTGCTACAGAGGGGTACTTAACTGCAAGTGTAAGTGGGGAATGCAATTTTATTGCCCTCCTTTTGTCATGTAACTCATGTTCATTCTTCGGAACCTGTTTTCTTTGTCTGATGCGGTATTTATTGCCCATTGTTTCAGATCCGGCTACCGGAGGGTACGTGACAGCAAGCGTAGGGGATGCAAATGCAGCCTTGTGTGATAGCTTGTCAAAGGAGCAGCGGCCGATGATAATGCGCCACATTGTGGTTGCTCAACAGCCACTGGCATTGCCTCTCCCCTTCCCGCGGCTTTTCAGACCATACGTCACTGAGCACGGTGACATTGAAGGTATTTTTTTTTTCAATGACAAAGCTACAACTCTTGCCCCTTTACTCAGTCCATCTGTTTTTTATATTTTTCTCCCGTTATCCTCATATGCAAGGAACATGAATATGGACGAAGCACAGAAGTCCAGATTGCAAAATCACACTGAAGTCCAAGTAGTCAAAGCAAGAGCAGATAGCACAATGGAACCGAGTAACCATCCATTTGAATGTCCAAACCCAACAGGGCAACACCAACAGCATAACCCAATGTAGCTCTCTCTCCTGAATGGCGCCAGGCGCCCTATCTACTCTACAGCCTAAGCCTACAACTACAGCAATGAAAGCAACCAGACAACTTGACGACCAGCGAGTGATGATGTCAACACCAATGCCGACCTCCCACCTCCACCAGGTACGTCTCTCTCTTCACCCACACTCTCCCTTGTTATCTCACACAGCGCCCTTCACCTCCGAAGAACCACCTTCGCCCGCACCTCCCCTGCGCCCTCAGGCAGCCCGGCTATGGCCGCCAGCGCCCTGTGTACAGGCAGCGCCCTACCGCCTAGCGCCTGCCTGTCTCGCACCTCAGCCCAGCGCAGCGCAGCAGCGCAGCAGCTCGCATTTGCACAGCGTGCGGGCATTGCCCGCAATGGCCAAGATCCCTGCCCACTCGCCCTGCTTGCCTATATGCCAGTGTTGCGTGTGGGCGGCCTCCCTTGAGCCTGTGCCTGGGCCGCAGTACCTGTACCCAGGCCCGATGCAGTTGGGGGCCCAGGAGACGCAGTTGCGCCTCTTTCATCAAGGCCTGCGGCCAGATTCAGATTGTGGACCGGTTTCCCATTGGCATTTTCGGCCTCTATATCCAGCATGCATTGTCCGCCTCACGTTTATGTGCCCAGGGCCTAACCAACTCGGGGCCCTGGGATTTCTGCATTTGCAGAGCTCCAATACTCGGTGCACACCAACCAACTGGCGTGCTGCAACTGTATGGACCCCACTTCGTGAAATGTTTGCACAGAGGGCTCTTGTTGATTTGCTGGCTCGCCTTCACTTAGGGCAGGCACTAGGCTTGCTGGGGCCTTAGCCCAGAACATGTTCATCACGGCAAGGCCCCTTCTTGAGGGCTCAATCCTCACACATGAAACGGTATTTCCCAGTTCGAAGTAGCTGATGTAGGTCCCAGGGCTCGATCCCTAGTTCCCCAACTTACCTGTGTACAATACCTGTGTAGTTGTAGGACTTGAACCTGTGACCTGTAGGATAGCCACTTGCAGGTAGGTCATCGTAGGCACCAGAGAAGTAAGGGATTCGAACCACAGACCTGTAGGGCAAAAATCGAAGTAGGGTCCAGAGGTCTTCTAGAAGGTCGACCAGTGGGCAAGTGGTGTAGCTAAGTCTACTTGCGCCATAGGACTGTGACATCTGTCGAAGTCAACTGGTAGGACCTCAGTAGGACTGCAGTGAGTCGTAGGTGAGTCGTAGTG